AAAAATAAACATTTATGATAGAATACCAAATTGGATTTACTCTGATGTATTAACAAAAGCATAACACATGCCAGTAAACAGGAATTTCCAGCTTACTGGACAACTCAATAAGTCGATTAAACCCTTGGTTTTAGCCAGTGGCAAACATCAGTCACTGCTTCACATTTAAGCACATAAATCCATACTACGCTCACATTTAAGGGGAAACTCAGCGTAGGGGTCACCCTGCTCTTCCCCATTCGAAATGCACTGAAAAGAGACAAGCCCAGAGAAGAGGAGGAGAGGTGCATGGGAAAGAGGAGCTGAAGTAAAATTCTTTCGCTACCTTGAGGGAGGTGGTGGTGGTGGTGGGTGTTATTTTCACCAGGTCCACATCAATCAGTTTGATCGTAAGACAGCCCGTGGTAAGATTTCATTTGTGGAATGTGGTAAGCATGGTCACAGCCTAATTCTTTCCTAGGGGTTGGCAGTGTCCCTGGTCACATGCCCACACTAGGGTTGAGAGAGATGCTAATGCTGTGCCCCGCAGTGCCTCCTGCCCTAGGAAGACTGAAAAGATGGCTCTCTTTTCCTTACAGATTACTGGCTCAGTATCAGGAGTAGAGGTAGGGAGGTATTGTCAACTCCAGAAGAGTTGAGTCCACGGTTTATCCCACAATGGATGCATTAGGCTTTTCAGAGCTTCACTGAGATTGTCAGTAATAGGCAATCACCTTTCCGTACTTATGAAATATTTCTTAAAATTCTCTAGGGTTTGACTCAAAAAAGTGACCAGGTCGAAAGTTTCTCTGTTATTCTTGAAGACAAATGCAATTCCTACTAAGTTATAAATCGGCACTTATGTCCTGTAGTTAAGCACGTCTTCGCACCATCCCCTGTTTCTGGCCTCCACGTAGACAGACGCGTTGCACTGCTGCATGGTGTGTTCCATCTCGACCAGCTGGCAGCATCCGATGGTGAGCTTTTCCCTAGGAGAAAAGAAATGGTAAATCACTGCGAGACAGCTGCTGAGATAAAACTTCTTTCTTTCCTTAGCTGACAAAAATTGTATATATTTATTGTATACAGCATGTTTTGAACTATGTATGCAATGTGCAATAGTTCAATTGAGCTAATTAACGTATGTATTAATTTAGATATTTTGTTGTGGTGAGAGCACATAAAATCTAGTGATTTTCAAAATATAATACATTGTTAGTAACTAAAGTCATCATGTTGTATCATAAATTTCTTGAACTTATTCCTCCTATTTAACTGAAATTTTGTGTCCTTTGATCAACATCTCTCCAATTCCCCCATTCCCCTGTGCAGACACGTGTGTGAGCATGGCTGTACGGGGGACTCTGCGTATTCACCTGTAACTATCTCAAGAAAACAGCATAGACTGGTATGGGGAAAAAAAAGAAGAAGAAGAAGAAGAAGAAGAAAAGAAACTTTTTATCTGAGGAATGCGAGTATCTTTAAATTATCAGGCCCAGAGAGGCATCGGAATGAAACGGTGGTCACGTCACTCCCCTTTGAGCTAAATAATTATCTCTCAAAGCCACTTGCTATGTGGGCTCCAGACTAACTGACGCCAAGAAGCCATAAAATGCCATACACCTTTTTCCCCATACCAGTGTCTGCTGCCTTCTGGAGGTAGTTACAGGCGAAGACTCAGACTCCCCCGGGCAGCCATGCTCAAACACGCGTCTGCACTCCTAGCCAGGCGCATCCTTCTGGAGACGCTCTTACGGCAGGTGAGGGGGGAGGCTCGGCTGAGGCACTCCCCAGGCACCTCCACTGAGACCTCCTACTGGAGCCCCTGGCTGAGGCATCTTTCTTGACTCTGACTCAGTACTTTCCCACTCCTAGGTCTTCCTCCTCCTGGCCCCCCAGGTCCTATGCTATTAACAGAAGGCTTGCTGAGTAGTAATCATCATTTTTCAATGCACTCAAGATACTAAATATATTTGATTTCTCTTCAAAATCACTCTTTTGGGTATAAGAGAGGGCTTATTAATTAACGTCATAATTCAAATCCCTGGCATAGTAAATGGAAAGAAACCGAAGGAAAAAAATAGGTACAACTATTTTAAATATGAACATTCAACTCGACCCCTGAACCTTCCTCCCCTCCCCCCCAAAAAACTTCCAAAAGCAAACTGAAGTCAAAATAATTCTAGACATCTTATTAGACCATCCTTCAAGAGACTTTGGCCTCTATGTTATCTACAGTGCGCTTTTTACACTTTCAAAAATATGCCTAAGCTTGCAAGATGTCCTATTTTTGACACAAATCTTTAAATGTGGATTATCTGTGAAGATCTATGTATAAGAGTACAATTGATTCATTGACAGTCTGAAGATTAGGTTAGGAAATCATATTCTCCCCAACTA